TATTGTTGCTGTTGTTGTTTGTTGTTTTGTTGCTGTTGCTGTTGCTGTTGTTGTTTGTTGTTTGTTGTTGTCGTCGTCCCACCCGCGACCCGCCCCGCGACCCACCCGCGACCCACCCCGCGACCCACCTGCGACCCACCCGCGAACCACCCCGCGACCCACCCGCGACCCACCCCGCGACCCACCCGCGACCCACCCCGCGACCCCCCCGGCGACCCACCCGCGAACCGCCGGCGACCCACCCGCGACCCACCCGCGACCCACCCGCGACCCAAACCGCGACCCACCCGCGACCCACCCGCGATCCACCTCGACCCACCCGCGACCCACCTGCGGCCCACACCGCGACCCACCCAAAAGGTTTGGCGCCTGCGGCGGGTTTCTTTTGCATTCGTTCCAGGTGGAGAACCTGCGACCCACCCGCGACCCAAACCGCGCCCGCGACCCACCCGCGACCCACTGCGACCCACCCGCGACCCACCCGCGACCCTCACCGCGACCCACCCCAAAATTTTCGGCGCTTGCGGCGGGCTTCTTTGCATTCGTTCCAGGTGGAGAACCTGCGACCCACCCGCGACCCAAACCGCGTTCAGTGTACAAATTAAAATGTTCGGCGCCTGCGGCGGGCTGTTTTCGAATTTCCTCCAGGTGGAGATAAAGAGCCCGCGACCCACCCGCGACTCAAAGTACGTTCACTGAACAAGCCAAAACTTCGGAGCCTGCGGCGGGTTTCTTTTGCATTCGTTCCAGGTGGAGAACCTGCGACCCAAACCGCGTTCAGTGTATAAATCAAAATGTTCGGCGCCTGCGGCGGGCTTTTTAGAATTCTTTCCAGGTGGAGGTGGAGAGCCCGCGACACACTCGCGACCCAAACTACGTTCACTGAACAAGCCAAAAAATCGGCGGCTGCGGCGGGCTGTTTTTGCATTCGTTCCGGGTGGCACCCTCCGCGTCCTTTCAGGAGGAGGAGGAGGAGGAAGAAAAGGAGGAAGAGGAGGAGGAGGAGGAGGAGGAGGAGGCGGACGACGACGACGACGACGACGACGACGACGAGGATGAGGATGAGGACGCGGACGAGGAAGAGGAGGAGGAGGAGCAGGAGGAGGAGGAGGAGGAGGGCGCCATCGACAGGGAAGGTGAGGGCCACGAGGTCCGCCGGCTCGACTCCCGCGTTGCCCGCGCCCGCCCCCTCACTCTTATCCGCAATTGCGGGGTGCTACGTAGACGTAAATTGCGTGGATGGCGGTTGACTAGACACCCGCTTGCGTTTCATTGACCACGAAAACCTATCCAATGGATCGTTGCCCCAAGCACCCATCCTAAGTACGCAACCCTTCTTACAAGCAAGAAGTACGTCGTACCCAGTACCCAACGAAGGCCTTACCCAGCGAAGCCCCACCCTCCAGCGACCACGTGAGGATCCTTCACCAAATGATTCCGTGTTTGGGAACATCTGTGTTTGCAGTCACTGTAGTGCCCGGAAGGTGAGGAACGCATCGGCGCATCGCTTGAAGGGGGAAGAGGGCATTACGAAATAGGCAGGCGGTGCAATGTCGTATGTGCTGGTATGCTGTTCTGCCCCGTTCAATCTGCCCATGCCGACGAGGGCACGGGTTGAGACGGTGGCAGTTGCATATGTGATTATCAACGTTGAGTCTTCTGCCGAAGAAGGGCCTTTCAGAATTGTCTTGGATTCTAGGCGCATTGGGGCCCAGGCCGCAGACGGGCAGTCTGTTGTGGGCGCACACCGCGATAATGACGAAGCGCCCCGTCGGCGTGGGTATGCGCGTGGGCGTCGGCGCTGGCGCAGGCGAAGTCGTACATGCAGGCGCGGGCGTAGGGCCGTGATCGACACCCATGCCGACTCGGGCAGCAGCCGAAGAAGCGATGGGCGGCAGCAGTTGGGGCAGCAGGGGCAGTGGCGCTTGTTGGCGCGGCGGCAGCAGCATCTCTGCGAGACGCGGCTTGCCCCGACGGCCGTTGCAGGTTAAATTTCCACTACTACCGCTCTCTTCGGAAGGCCTGGCCCTTTTCGTCGTCAGTGCAGTGCCTTTGTATGTGGAAACGTGTCCATGGTGAGTTCTTCGATTTGCGTCCTTGGTGCGACGGTGCAGCGCGTGTGTGTGTGTGTGTGTGTGTGTGTGTGACAAGACGCTTTTTCTGACCAGTCATATTTTCATGGAGTTGTTGGGAGCGCTTGCTGCATAAGAAGCTTGCCCTGTGAGGCATCACGCGCGCGAGCAGGCTGAATACGTTCATCGGGCTCGCACCCTGCTCAACTCATGCAGTTACCTGCTCACGCGGGTTGGGGGAGGACAAAAACACATCGGTCTCTCCAGTCCATATTCAAGCCGGCCGCCTTCTTCAAGGCGAGCTTTATGTGGACAGTGTGGGCAGTTCCGCGCGCGAGCGGCACGAGAGGCAGGGGACCATGGCGAAGCAAGAGGGGGTAGAGAAATCAGGGGGCCAGAGCAGATGTAGCACAGGCCACCAGATGAGCATAGCACATGGGTCGCCACGCAGAAGGGGGGGGGGCCCTGAGGAAAACGTGTCTTAGACACTCTGGCGGTCCCCAGGACAGGACCAGCTCTTTTCTTCAGGATCCGTGCCTTTCATTCCAAGGGGCGGGGCGAAGGTGCAGCTGCGCCTGGCAGCCATCAGAGGCCGCAGTCCCTGTTCCCTGCCTGCTTACGCGGCAGCCTCAGGGCATCGTGCTGCCGATGGCCTCGGAGAACTGCACCCTGAGAGAGGCAGTGATACTGAGCTCGGTGCTGGGCAAGGCGGCCTGAAGGATGAGAGGGAGGAGGAGGAGGAAGAGGAGGAGGAGGAGGATCAGATAAACGAGGCGGATTGTGAGGGGGAGGGCGGGAGGGAGAGAAGGAGGAGGAGGACCAGTGTAAACCCAAGAACCATCAACGATGTTGGAATACACCCTCCCTGCAAGCTCCCTCTTCACAGGCCGCTACAACGGTTCATTTCCATTGAGGGGTCTGCCTCGTTGGAAGAAAACTGTTTGAAGACCTGGAAGCATGCCAATACATTGTTCTCAGGATTCCAACGCCACGGATCAACCTGACTGCTGCGTCTTGACGATCTTGGATCGTGCCAGAACGCCGTTCTTGGGATTTCAACACTGCGAATCCACGTATCTGCTGCACCCGCAAAATCCGGAATCCTTCCAAAACGCAATTTCTGGTACGTTGATCGTGGGAGCCCGCCCTCAACCCGTGAATATCTCGCAAATCTTTAACATGAATGTTCGCGGCGCTGATGCGAGAACCACATTTTGAAAACGGGTATCCTCAATCCGTGAAGCTCGTGCAAATGTTTAGGATGAATGTGCGCGGCGCGAAGGCGAGAGCCACATTTTGAAAACGGGTTATCCTTAATCCGTGAAGCGTTTGCAAAGGTTTAAAGCGAATGTGCGCGGCGCTTGGGCGACAGCGACATTTTGAAAACGGGCGGGTGATCCTCAATCCGTGAAGTGCTTGCAAAGTTTTAAAATACGAATGTGCGCGGCGCTCATTTTGTAAACCACCCGCCCTCCATCTGTGAAGCTGTTGCAAATTGCAAGCTTCAGAGTTAATAGATGGTGAGGACGTCTCAGGCGGAACGCCCGGCCCGCCCTCAAAACTGTCCTCGGGGTACGACAGGGAGAAGTTGTGTATGGAAAATCAATGGAGGAGAGATGATCCCAATGAGCAGGACGAGAGAGGGGAGAGCGGGAGGAGGGAAAGCGGAGGAGGGAAAGCGGAGGAGGGGAAGGAAGAGGAGGAGTGAGCAGGAGGAGGAGGACGAGGAGGAGGAGGAGGACGAGGAGTGGGGGGAAGATGGAGGAGGGAGAGGGCGAGGAGGAGGAGGAGGAGGACGAGGACGATGGGGAGGAGGAGGAGAAGGAGAAGGAGGAGGAGGAGCTGCCTCCTCCTGCTCGTCACCTTCCGTGGGTGTCGTTCTGTGTGGTTGTAGTTGCACGCGCGTTCGTAACGGGCACTTGGAGATGCCTGTGGTATTGGATTCGTATCGCTTTGACATATCTCCGACGGTCCCCTGCCATCTGTTCCTCGTCGCCTCCCCCCCTCGCCATCGCAGAGCTGACGCCCTGTACTTGCCTTGACCTCTGCTCTCAAACCAGGTCGCTCCATGTCAAACGGCCGATTGGAGCAGTGGCGCGATACTTACCCGAGTCCCCCCCCGGGGAGCGGGGGGGGCGGGGGCACGTCCCGCCCATGCTGCTCTCCACGCCACAGCCATGCAGCGCTCCAGGACGGCCGAGGCAGACAGGACAAACAGCGCAGATGCAGCCCATGCAGGAGGAGGACCACGCCACGGTGTGCTCGACCTGTGGCCTAGACCCAGAGGCGAGGCGTCGGCACGAACGTCCCAGGGGGCAGCCCTATGGAAGCCGCCCCAAGATGGCAAGAAGAGAACCCCATGACGGCCCACCAAGGCGCCCCCGAATCATTCGAAATCGTGCCCTGGTCATTCAGGGAGACCGCGGTTTGAAACAGGGTGGCCCGAGGAAGGCCCCTGAGGCCAGAAGGTGCCCATGAGGCCTCAAAACGTTTTTCGAAATCTTTCGTGAGCCCCCCAAAGAGGCGTTCCTGGACCTGTCGGGCACTCTCCACACGGACCCGGCTGCCATGGCCCAGGCGCTCCGCTACCAGTGGGGCGAAGCCGCTCAGCAAGCCCCTTCGCGGACGATGGCTTGGCGAAGAGCGGCGGGCGCGCGCAACGCGCGGGGGCTCGCGACTCCCAGCGACCGACGACCCGAGATGGGCGCTGCGCCCGTGCGACGCGCAAGCTGCCCCAGAGCAAGCCCCCTCCTCGGCGCCAGGCCCTGACGGCCTGCCCTCCGCGGCCTGGAAGCGCCTCGGCCCCCTCGCAGTCGACGTCCTCTCCGCAGTGCACGAGCAGCTGTGTAGCCCCGGCTCGGAGGAGGCAATCCAGCGCGAGCACCCCGGGTACAACGACAGCCTCGTGGTGTTTCTTCCGAAGACGCCCATTCCCGAGAGCGACGACGGCACCCCGCAGTTCGCGCGGACAATAGACTCCTGGCCAGCGCGGTCCGGCACCGGCTCGAGCCCCTGCTCGCTGAGGAACTCTGCAGAACATCATAGAAATGTTGTCGGGCGCTCTATGTTGGCAAACAAAATCGACGTGGATGAAGCAATGCAGACGACGGCGCTCACGTGCGAAGTTGGGGCGGCGATCTTTTTCGATTTCGCCGCAGCCTTCTCGAGCGTGGGCCAGGACTTCCTGTTGGATGTGCTCGCTGACTCGGGGATCCCGGCACGCCCGCCGCAGTATCTGAGATCGCTCTTCTTCCACAGCCGCCGCTGGTTGGTGATCGGGAGCAGCGCCCACGAAGGTTTCCCGGTGACTGCTGGGATTCGCTAGGGCTGCCCGCTGTCCCTGCTAATCTTTGCACTCGCTGCTGATCTGCTCCTTCGGCGTCTCGGCCGGGCTCGCCCCCATGCTGTCCGCCAAGCGTATGCTGATGATTTGGCCGTGGTGACAAGGGAAGGGGCGCGACGGCTACGTTTGAACCCATGTTCGACGAATGCGCCGCCTTGTCCGGGCTCCGTATGAATGTCGGCAAGACAGTCTGGCTCCCGCTCCAGCTCCGAGACCCGGAAACTCGCGCCGGGAGGTTACCTCCCGCGCGCCGTCCTGGGGCGGGCTGCGATTCACCCACAAGGCCAACTACCTCGGCTTCTTTCTGGGCCCCGAGCGAGGGGAAGAAGGACGGGGCGCCGCCACTGCCAAATACCTCCGCAGAGCCCGCCGCGAGCGGGGCCGCTCAGGAGGCGGCATGTTCGCCCTCAGAATTGGATACTCAACGTAGGCTTTCTCCACCGTGAGCTTCCTCGCGCAGCTGGACGCGCCGCCGTCGAATTGGGGGCAGCTGGAGAGCACGGCGCTGCAATCTCTCTACGTCGGGCCCAGCCGGTGGGGGCCCCCAGCCGCCTTGCACGGGCTCCCTCTCTTGGGCTTTCCTGCGCGCCTTCCCCACCTGCTCGCGACGGCGCTGGCGGCCAAGTACCGGGTGCCAATTGGAAGCGGCGGTGGATGGGGGGCTTCCGCGCGGCCGCCAGGGCAGCGGGGCTGCGCGCGACCTGGCTGCACAGCACGGCGTCTCTTGCGCGCCTGGGGCGCTGGAGCAGGTGGTTCGACAGCTCGTTCCTCTTGCAGCTAGATGCGGCCCAGAGCTACTTTCAGCGGCGCGCGCTGGGCCCGCGCCAGGTGGCGCAGGCAGCGGGCACGTCCGACCCACAGGGCCTGAAGAAAGTATGGCAGCGAACGTGCGCGCGCATGGTCGAGCCTGACAGGGCCGCGCCTCTCGCACGTTCCCTGTGACATCCTGGTCCTGCGGCTTCTCCGAAGAAAAGAGTGCCGACCGCGCCTTAAGCGTGTACCCCGCCGAGGGGGGGAGAGTGCCCCGCGGGCGCCGGCCGCCTGCTTATGGACGCTCTGGAACGGCTGGGTCACCGCCCGGCGGTTTCAACAGCGCGCCGGCTGCTATTTCAGGTGCGCGGACGGCGAAGATTCGGTGGAACACTGCGCCGATTGCCTTTGCGTCGCAGCGGCCGCGGCCGACCTGCTGGGGCTGCCCCGGCCAGCTTCGCGGGAGGCGCGGTTCGCCGGGTTCCTGCTCCTGGCGCCGCCCCGCGGCGAGCAGACGGCTTTCGAGCTGCGGCGCTGGGCGCTTCTGGCGGCGTATCTGACCCATTGTCGGCGCAGGCACGCCGCGCGTTGCGGCCCCACTGCCTGCGTGAACGCGCTGCGGGTGACGATCCGGCAATTTTCATAGTGCCAACACCGCTTCTGCCTCATTTGTCTTGTCTTCTTCCTCCTCCTCCTCCCTTCCTCCTCCTCCTCCTCCTCCCTCCTTCCTGCTCCCTCCTCTTCCGCCCCGTGGCGCGCGCGCCTGGCCTGGGCGGGCGGCCCGCGATGCCGTGGGCGGCGACCCCGCCGCTGGACACCTCGAGAGAGCGATCACTGCTGCTGCTGGCACGCGCGGAGTCGAGAAACTGTGCATGCGGGCTGTTTTGTTTGTTTTTTTCGGGCCAGGGGATCGCGCCGGCCGCGGGTCCCAGGTGGCGCTGTCGCCCTCCTTCCTCCGTTGGCGTCCTTCGTCTTCGCTGCTTTCCTCCTGCGTCGTTCCTCCGGCTGTCGCCCAGGGGGTCGTTTCCCTCTCTGCTGCTGCTCGCCTCCTCCCGCCTCTCTCGCTGCTCCCCTCTCCTTCCCCTCCCCCCCTTGGCTCCGGGTTGGTCCCCGGGCCGGGGTGTCGGTCCCCTCTCTCTCTCTCTCTCTTCCCTCGCGCCTCTTCTGCGTCGTCCACCTGGGGATCCCCAGCGGCTCTGGCTGTGCGGGCCCCGCCTAATTTGTTTCTCTGGCGCGGGGTGCCGCATGTATGGATGCTCGCCTCGCGCATGGAATTTGGGATGGAGTTGGAGATTCGTCCTTGCTCTGAGGCTCACTTCTCGCATTGCCGTCGAAGCTTCTTCGTTACTCCTCTCCCGTTCCCCCGCCAGACGCCGAGTGCAGGAGGGCCGCTGCATCGGGCGTCTGCTGGCGTGCTCGCCTGGTGGCTGGTGGGCCCACTGCCCAGGCACTTCGTTAAAATGGCTCGTAGCCTTCTGCGCTCTGCTTTGGGGTGCGCTTGGCGGCCACTTGTTTCACTGAATTCGCGCCGTCGGCGCTGCTTGCTGGCCCGCGCCGGGTGTGCTATCTAGTTTGCGCACTCGGCAGCCCGGTCCAGTACGCCGTTCATGTTTTAGTGAGCCGC